GTTATTTTAAATTCCTGGTTTCTATGAAGCGAATAACAATTTCAAACTTTTAGATAACAACGTACGTGTGTAATATATCTGTAATAATTGCAAATCAATGGGGAAGCATATCGATCAATCTTTATACAGATAACAACTTACTTTACCTCGACAAATTTCGAGGGAAAGCACTCGTTAAGCTATTGGATTGGCAACTAAGTGGTTGCGGATTTTCTCATTAGGTGGTATTGACAAAATCCGCAATCACTTAGTTGCCAACGCAATAGAAGGACTCGAAGATGAATTGTTTGCCGAACTTTTGAATTCTATAGAACATCTAGAGGTTTCAAACGTTTAGCGAATAGTGTACGGCATATAATATTATCCATAATAATTTCGAATCGGTGGAAAAACAAACTAGTGTACGCAGGCCGGTTGTTACTTTGCTTAAACCGAGGACTTCGTCCAATTTCTATGGTAATGTCTGCCCGAGCCACGTGGACAAACATTACTCGTATCGCTTGTCGAACGTGAAAAGAATAGAACAATCGGGGAAATGATTGGAAAAAATCATCGCCACGTTGTCCCAGGAAGATAACGACGAAAACGGTTCGTCTCGTTCGAACGTTTGACAGGTATTCGTTTTATACGGTAGCACGTGCGACGTCGCGTCGGTGGTAGTATCGTAGTGCGCGATATTAGATCGTATATCGCCTCTAAATATGTAACAGCGCCCGTAGAACGTAAAAAAATACGATTCTACCGGCAGGAAGAAGATCAGCGTGAACCAACAGCTTTATTCTTTTTTTCTTTCTTTCTTCTCTTTTTTTTTTTTTGACGAATAACGTGTCCCTTTCATGAGAAATATTTTTCGGCTCGTGATACACAGACCAGGCGAGGTGGGGAAATAGGGCGGCAGCAGAAAGGCGGATAATTTGCAGTTGGAAGACTTAATCGAAATTTCTTGAATTATACCAAGCGAAAATTGGTTAGCGTAACACGGCGTATAATAAACCATTATTACTTGGTGCACGCTTTACCTACACGATGAACGTGTTCCCGTCTAATTGGCGGCGAGCAGGATAATTTTTACCAGAGACGAAATTCAATATATTCGACGCGTAACCGCTCGATCAGATCGAAGAAAGTGCACACTTCGCCGGATATTTACTATCGCGTGCCACCTTATCGCGCGTTATGATCGAATTCAGTGGATGGCTGGTATTTATATTCATGAAGCGTTTTCGAGAATCGTATCGGCCATCCGGCGCCGACCAATGGCCGTAGTTTTTGCCGGTACGGAGGCACGGCAACTTTCGATGCAGTTAATACTTCATGGAACGACGTCTCAGCAACTGTTTAGTTGTCAGATGCGCTTAATTAGAGACATTTGTGAAATTCGATGGTAGTGGAATTTTGAAAATCGTGGAAGGCCAGACAAGCATTAAATTTGAATTCAATGACGGAGAGAAGAATAATTCGTTATTGAGATTCGCGTGAAGAGGAATTCAAGCTGTTCTGTAAGCTGTCCTTGATCAATCCCATTCATAGAAATTTCACAGATTTGCAACGATGCACTTTTGCAAATTTCAATGATAGAACCTTGTTCTTCACCTTGCATTATGTATTTTCCATATACACTGCCAGCCATGAGTACTACGACATCTACCAACTACATTTATTGGGAAACAAATTTTACTTTGTTTAGTATTCGATATTGTAAGATACATATAATGCGAATTAACACGAAATCCGCGATGAAATAACTGCGAGAAACTATCGAAATTCACGAATTCACATCGTACTAAATATCAGCAGGTGTTCGATTGCTTATAACCAATAATATACATCCTCGCCACTTTAATTTCTTCGAAACAGGTGATCAATATTTCTAGCATCAATCGCTTGCAAGATTCTTTTCTTACACCATAGCTTATTACATCTTTCGAAACACTATATCAAGCCATCTTCCATTCTATTCTTCCTCGTGCCTTGCTAAAGTACAATTATTAAAATCCAGGTATCGATAACAAGGCAAAGCGCGATGAAGATAAGTTCCGCGAGAAAGGAACAAGACATCCCCCTCGATCTCAGGGAACGCTGCCCACGTCAGCGTAAAGCCCGAAATCGTTGGAAATTAAATTTTTCCCCGGAGGTGGCCCGACCGCACGGGCCACAAATTCATAAGATTCAATATGCTACGCGAGCGAGCAGGTTGCCAGCAATGGAATGGGGTAGACTCTGCGACGATGTTAGCGGGGTTTGGAAGAGCGGCGGCGGAGACGTAGGAAAGGGGCG